ATTTATGGATGGAGATAAGTAGCTCCATCTGCTGCTTTATAAACTTACAGTGGATTACATTCAATTAATGATATTTAAGTGCACTTCAATGGAAAAAAATGAAAGAATATTCAAATACACCTCAGTAGAAATTGAGACATTTTAAGATCCTGTCTGAATGCTTTCCTGCCATTGCTGAAATGGAAGAAAATCAGATTAGTAAATGTAATAAAAAGGGTCAAAAGCACTGTTAGATAATAAGGAATATAGAAAATGTTCTATAGCACTACAGTTTAACATCCTAATCTGGTAATGAAATTGCAGTTATCTTGTTCACGTGACCAGATTTTGCATGCTTCATTTGCAGTCTGTTTTTAAGGAAATAGGTGAGAGTTTTCAACAGTTCAGACTTAAAAAGGCAAAATCTGTTTTGGTTATAAAATGAAAAACATAATATTCTTTATTGTTGTATTTGGTTTGTCAGAGTACTACATGTAGATACTTATTCTGTAGGAATATTCCAGTATACGTCTTCAATGTATCATTTTTTAAGAATATAAATTGTTTCCTGGTTAGCAGTGCGAAGCAAACTACTGAACATCTGTGAATAACTAAACCAGGAAAAATCATACTTGCACGATGAAAGAATCACGGAAGAGCATTATATTTTGTTTACAAATCCATAGCTGCTGGATATAAATATAACAACAATACTAAATTACATTTGTAGAGTGCCTTTCACATTAGGAGGGGATCCCAAAGCGCTGGATAGTCAAAGACGTGCACCCAAGCTAGGGGCTGGGATCAGGAGGGGTGGAGAGTAGGGAGGGTGGGGGTAGGAGGGTGACCATAGGCATAGTCGAAGAAGAAGGTCTTGAGATGGGCCTTGAAGGAGGCCTGGAGGGGGTGAGAAGAAGGGACTGTGGGATGGAGTTCCAAATGGTGAGGGCAGAAAGGCTGAAGGCCCGACCTGCCAATGGTGGAGCAGACCAATGGCGGGAATTGTCAGGAGTTGCAGGCCACAGAGGTAGGGAAGAGCAAGTTTGTGCTTTGAAAGTGAGGACAAGGATTTTGAACTCGATCTTGTGGGGGAACAGGGAGCCAGTGAAGCCCCAATGCTGTAACTGCTGAAAGCTTAACTTATAAGATTCTTATTCAAAAGCAACAAAGAAATGCAATTTTTCCAAGATACACTATTATTGTATGGATGTGAGGAATTCTTTACAAAAACTATTACAACAAACCAAAATATGGTTTGTACAGACCCTCTCTTCCTGGAAGAGTGTGTTTGGCATAAAAAGGTCTCAGTTTCTAATCTTGTGTGTGAATCCCACTGCCATTATTCTTGTGAATAATGCTCTTCCGTGATTCTTGTGTGTGGCCTCAGATAAGATCCCTTTTCTGTCTGCAGTTCTAGCTGAGACAATGAAGTGGCCTCGGACATCCCACTTTATAGAAGAGCAAAAATTCTTTATAAATGGAATCTTGTTGTTGTTGTATATAGCAATTCCCTGCTGTAAGTGTGCTCAATTGAGATAGCACCCTCATGGTTGAATGTCTCAATGCATTTACTGTTCATGCTCATAAATAATATTTATGGTTGCTCATACCCCACTCTACTGCCTGGCGCCTTTGCTCAGCGGGCAACTCAGACCTTCTGTGCATCCCCCAATCCCTCCGTGCCTTCATCAGTGACCGCGCCATTAGTCACTCTGCCCCTAACCTCTGGAACTCCCTGCCTCAATCCCTTTATCTAATCCCCCTCTTTTAAATCCCTCTTTAAGACGTGGCCTCTTCCACAGCGGGTTTGCTCACCTCCTCTTAACCCTTTCCCTCGCTCAGTGTCCAACCCCGCCATTGTGCTGCGCTCCAAGATGCTATCCTACATGAAGGGTGCTATATAAATGCAAGTTTTTGTTATCAGCTAGGGACTGAAGAGTCACTGTCACCTACCAACACAAGTTGACATTTAGGAGAAAAGGGTTACGAGAGGGGTTGATGATGACGGTCATCTGCTATACACATTTCTTTTATGCCTTTTATCTTTTATTTAAAAAGAAATTGCAAGATTCATGAACAATTATTAAACACACAGAAGTCTCCTCGAATTACTAATTCACTTATGTTATCTACAGAATGAGAAGTTGCAAAATGTATGCTTTCCTGAGTGTTTCCATTGATTACTGTGGGAGGATTGTTGCCATAGTTATTGTCCTCAGACCATGATTTGATGCTGCTTGGTGATTTATGAAATTGCACAGAAATTCTCTTGTATATTATATAGTGTTCAAATAAATTATTTTATCAGAGTGTAATGAAAATAATAATCTGACATTTGATATAGTGCCCTATAACATTGTCTCAATGTTTCAAAAGGCTTGATAGGATTTACTGCTACAACAACAAAATTACATTTGTATAGCGTCTTTCATGTTGGGAGGACGTGCCAAGGCGCTGGAGAGTCAGTGTTTCTGACCCGAGCTGGCAGTTGGGATTGGGGAGGGTGGAGGGCATGAGGGTTTGGTTTGGAATTCAGAGTGATGGAAAGCATAGTCGAAGAGGAGGGTCTTGAGATGGGTCTTGAAGGAGGCAAGGGAGGGAGCAAGGCAGAGAGACTGCGGGATGGATTTCCAGAGGGTGGGGGCAGAGTGGCAGAAGGCCCGCCCGCCAATGGTGGGGTGAGCGAGGCGGAGGGCGGGAAGCAGGCCGGAGCCCACTGAGCAGAGGGAACGGGCAGGATGGTAGGGGGTTAGGAGGTCGCAGAGGTAGGGGGGAGCGAGACCATGGAGGACTTTGAAGGTGAGGCCCAGGATCTTAAACTGTATCCTCTGTGTGATGGGAAGCCAGTGCAGTTGTGCGAGGATGGTGATGATAGGGTCACGGAGCCTGGTGCAGGAGAGGACACGGGCTGCAGAGTTCTGGATGGTCTGCAGCCTATGGAGGAAGGAGTTGGGGAGGCCGACTGCTAAGTGTAGTAACTGTATAGGCGATACCACAAACAATTCCTGCTTATTCATTAGTAAAAACCTGAATTTACAAATGCCTTTCTGTACATTTATTGTTTCCCTCTATTATGTAATTAATATGACTTTACCATGTTTACCCATGGAGGTGAAAGCTTGATTGGGAGCCCAGGTGCTTTCTGGTAAATTTCAGACATAAAATATAAAAACCTTTTGTTTTAAATAACGGAGAGCTGACAATACAAATTATTGGCTCCTTATGTCTCCAATCATGGTTCTAAATTATGCAATGGCAAGCTATCCAGTTTTAGCTGGTTAGACTCCAGTAGTACACCTGTGCACCCTTTAGGGTTTTGTGCATTACGTAAAACCATAATTTGGGATCCCAAAGATTTTGCCCTTGCCAACCTGCTCTGAAAGCTCTCTGGAATTAGTTAAGCAGGATGCATCTCTCTAGGGAGAGAGTGAACATTTCCATATCTCTGGAATTTCTATATTTAGGTGGGATGCATGGAGTTTGGATTGGACACTCTTAAGCATGGTTTTCCACATGTGTCGGACAGCCAACTGACCACAAAAATTATGTTTTTTACTGGGGCTACATTTTCAGTCAGTGCTTGTTAGTCAGTATGCTGCCATTGTCTCCTTGACTCTCATTGACCTCTAGTAGTTCACATTGCTCGCCTCCAGTTTTTATTTAAAAGCATACTTTACACATAGTATATTTCATTTTTAATTGTTTTTAGGAGCCAAAACATACCCTCAAAGCTATTAACTTTGGGTTAAGTCTGATACATTTCATACAATAGTGCGGAGGCAGAGGAGGTTTTCACAGACTTCTGTCTTCTGTCTTCATTATTAACCTTAATCAAAATTCCAAAATGTCTCCAGTGATAAAGATAACCACCTGCAGGGGCCTCCAATTAAAATCTAACTCTGTTACTACTTGCTCTGGTATTGACAGGATACTTCCTATTGTCTGTGTTCACGATGCTTTTGTACCAATTTACTGCTGTCTCACTGTTGGGTTGAGGATAAAGCTCTGGGTAACATCGTCAGGCATGAATAAACATTAGGTTTCACACTTTGGGTTCTCCTCATTATCGGACTGAGCTGCTGTCATTTTAACAAAAACGTTTTTCGGAAAAACGAATTGAGCTGCAGATTCCAGTTAGTTGCCCAATAATTGATTCAATAAAAGGATCACAGTCATCACAGAAACAGTATACTTATGTTTTTTACCTAATGCACAAACCCTAAAGGGTTAGCAGAAAGAACAGCAGTTGAGGCAATTAAAACTTCAGCAAATTGATTGTACAGTTGATGACACAGTTGTTCAAGGTCTGTAGGGAGAAGATAATTATTTATTACTACTTCTTAGCCTTGGAAATCGATTGTGTGAATCTGGCAGAACTGTACCAGTAAATTAAGGCTGGAATTGCTCAACTGGTAGGGTGCCTAGTGCCTTAGTTAGGAGATTATGGATTTGAATCCCAATGAGGTTGAATTGGCCTTTCATGCTCTCAAGGCCGGTAAAATGTGTACAACTAATTGGTGTGTGTGTGGGAGGGGAGAGAATGAGTCTGTATGTACCGCTGACCACATTGTCATGGGAAATTGCCAAATAATATTCCCTGATTCCCTGTCAAGGTCCGAGATACAAAGGTAGGCACTGCTCCCAACAACATGTCAATGTGCAAGGAGACCGACCACCTGGGCAACCTTCTTACTTCAATAGTCAATGTTAGATTGCAGGTGGTCCTTCCTACCTTTGTGTGCTTATCTGAAAGTTATCATGTCCATTTCAAAAAAGTTGTACAGAGTTATGACTGAGAGCAATTCCTACTATTTGTAATTTATTAATATATTTTGTTCACAAAATACACAGTCGATCCACTTTGCAATATACCCTGTGAAGCGCTTTGAGATGTCTCAACGGCATGATAAGGCGCTATATCAAATGCAAAGATTATTTTTTGTTGATGAGCAATTTTTTTTTATGAAATGGAGTAAGAAATCAGTTGGCGAAGTTGAATTAAAATAACTGTTTTGTTGCAGGTCTCTCGAAATGGTTTTATTATGTGACCATGCCTATGCCAGCGTCTACATTCACAATTGCTGTAGGATATTGGGTGGAAGCTAATTCCAGCTTTAGTTCCCAGGTTTTCAATCCATTACCCGCCTCATCAGCCTGTGAGAATGACAATTGCAGGTTAGTATCATGTTTCTAACTCTGGGCTCTGTAATGGAAGTGTTTGCTAGGCTTCTCTTTTCCACCACAACCGGTCTCCTCCGTCCACCTTCCCAGGCCTCACCTATCCTCTCCTCAAACTCCAACTGTGAGGAGACTTCCTCGAATCCAAAATCGAGGGGATACGTTCAGCCACCTCTGCCGCATCCACTGCCACCACTACATCATCTCTCTCTCATGACCTATACCCCACCCATCCACCCCTATACTCCTGCGACCCTATCTCTCCCTCCTCCCTCACCGTGATTGTCCACAAACTCAAACCCACCACCTGCTCCCTCGATCCCATTCCCACCTCTCTCCTCATCTCCCAGCTCCACTTTCTGGCCCCTCTCCTATCTGACGTCATCAACCTTACCTTGTCCACCGGTTCAGTTCCTACCCCCCTAAAAACAGCCGTCATCAGCCCCATCCTGAAAAAAAACCTTCCCTGGACCCATCCCTACTCTTCAGTTACGCCCCATCTCTAACCTCCCATTCCTCTCCAAGGTCCAGGAACAAGTCGTTGTGTCCCAGCTCCGCTTCATTCTCTCTCGCCATTCCCTCTTTGAACCCCTCCAATCCGGCTTCCGCGCTGGATTGAGCTTCCTCCTCGATCTCTCTGCTGCCTTCGACACTGTCGACCACTTCATCCTCATACACCACCTCTCCCCTTTAATCTTCGCGGACCTGCCCTTGCCTGATTTGAGTCCTATCTCTCTCACCCTCTCCACTTTGTTGCCTTTAACAGTTTCTCGCCCAGCCCCCAGGGCTCTGTCCTTGGCCCCCTCCTCTCTAATATCTACATGCTTCCCCTTGGTAACATCATCCGCAGACATGCGGGTTAACTTCCATATGTATGCGGATGACACCCAACTCTATCTTTCTGCCTCCACCCTCAACTCCAGGACCACTGCTTTCCTGACAGACTGCCTGTCGGACATCAAGTCCTGGATGAGTGCAAATGTCCTACAGTTGAATGTGAACAAGACTGAGGCTCTCCTGATTGGCTCGCGTCAGCGCCTCAGCACCTCAGGCTCTGGCAGCATCAACCTCCATGGTTGCACACCTCAACTCACCAAACCAGTCAGGAACCCAGGTGTCTTGTTCGACCCTCAACTGTCTCTTTTTCCCCACATCCAAGCCATGACCCGCTCTGCCTTCCCTCACCTCCGTACATCGCCCGACTCCGCCACTACCTCACCCCTCAGGACGCTGAAACTCTTGTTCATGCCTTCATCACCTCCAGGCTCGACTATGCAGACGTTCTGCTTGTCGGCCTTCCCAACTCCTCCCTCCACAGGGCTGCAGATAATCCAGAACTCTGCAGCCCATGTCCTCTCCCGCACCGAACTCCGTGATCCCATCTCCCCCATTCTCGCCCAACTCCATTGGCTCCTTATCCTTCAAAGGATCCAGTTCAAAATCCTGGTCCTCACCTACAAAGCCCTCAATGGCCTCTCCCCACCCCATCTCTGTGACCTCCTAACCCCCTACCAACCCGCCCGCTCCCTCCGCTCAGCCGGCTCCCGCCTGCTCCACATCCCCCGCCCCACCCGCCCTACCATTGGGAGGAGAGCCTTCAGCCATTCTGCCCCCAACCTCTGGAATTCCATCCCCCAATCACTCCGTCTCGCCCCCTCTTTAGCCTCCTTCAAGTCCCACCTCAAAACCCTCCTCTTTGACCATGCCATCGATCACCCTCCCCTTCCCCTCCCCTCCCTTTCCCCCCCAACCTCCGCTTGGGTCTGAAATGCTGTACACTGTCCAGTGCCTTGGGATGTCCTCCCGACGTGAAAGGCGCTATACAAATGTAATCTTGTTGTTGTTGTTGCTAAATATTTGCATAACAATGGGTCCCATTACGTATCAGTCTGATAATTTATGCTTGCAGTGTGCTAGAAGTCCTGTAGCTTAGTGGTTAGAGCACTCTCCTCGCATGTGAGAGGACAAGGGTTCAATTCCCAGCAGGGCGAAACGATGGGCAAGTTTTGTTACACCTCTGTTTACCTAACAGTAAGTAGGAACCCGTATGTTCGTCGATTGGCGAATTGCTTTTCCGGAGGTAATAATCCTTCCAAAAAATAATTAAAAAAATAAAAATAAATTTGGTCACTCAATCCACGACTGTTTGCAGGACACTGCTATGTGCAATTGGCAGCCGCGAGTCGCCCACAAAACATACAGTCAATTCACTTTATAGTATATCCTGTGAAGCGCTTTGTCCTGAAGACTTGATAAGGCCCTGTATCAAATGCAAGGATTATTATTATTATACTATTATAGTATATAGAAACTAGTTTAGAGGTCATTTAAAATCTTTTAAAATCTAAATGGATGAATCAATAGACAACTTAGTTTTTCTATTAATGCAGACTCACTGAAAAGAGATGTTAGGCATCTAAAACGAATCAGAGAAAGATTTAAATTAAAAATAAACTTGAGAAATAACCTCATGTCATCATAATGTACAAAATCTAATAAACAATTTTTCTCTTTCATTTGCAACTTATTTATCTTCTGCAGAAGTCACTGATCCAAGCTGGAATATGATTCCATATGTGATGGGCACTCTAGTATTTTACTCAAGGAGTCATTCTGCAAGAGACAGAGAAATTAAATCTAGAACGATACTTTCAAACACACCAAGGCAGCAGTTCAGGCTTGCGAGGGACAATTTTAAAACCAGCACCAGGAAGTATTTTTTATACTGGGAGACGCAAACCCCCTGAGTAAATTTGGTGAAAATCGGAATTTCTTTTGAAACAAAAAAAAGTTCAATACATCAAACCAGATACAAACAAAACATTATATTTTTAAAATTCACAGATTGAGGCACCAAAATTGATTGATTTTTTTGTGTTATTAACGTGAAGCTGTGTGATGCAAACACACTGTCCCAGAACCCACTCACCTGCCCGGGTGTCACATTGTAATGCTCATTTCACAAAACTGCCAATGCAGTGAGCGCACCATGACAGACAAAGTAAAATCCAAGTTTTATGAATGAAGATCAGGTGACAATCATGTTTTACCAATCGGCTTTCACTCAAAAAAGTTGATTTACCCTTGAAAATTGTTTAAAACATTTTTTTTTTACTCATCCTTACATAAACTCATTCAATCACAACTACATAATCTCATTAGATCTACATACTACTGAATGATTTGCCCTGAATGACAGTCACATCACATTACATTATATTCTGTGAAGCGCTTTGAGACGTCCTCCTGACGTGATGGGTGCTACATAAAATGTAAGGATTATTATTATTATCATTTATTATAATAAACTCTGAAATTAGAAACAAGCCAAGTATTTTGCTACCTGGAGAATCGATTAGTTTCCATATGATATGGGGATAATAAAGTGACCTGGACTGAAATTAATGCTCACTGGTAATTTGTGAATAACTTGACTGTGTTTGTTTGATTGTTGGACAGCGCATTGTTATTGTGGTACCACTCGACGATATAGAACCATAGAATATTACAGCACAGAATCAGGCTATTTGGCCCATTAGAGCTTGCACTGTTGTTTTTCTCCACATAAGCCACATGGAGTCCTGTAGCTCAGTGGTTAGAGCATTCGCTTTGCAAGCGAGAGACCTGAGTTCAATTCCAGGCAGGGCGAAACCTTGGGCAAGTTTCCTTACTCCACACGCCTAATATTAATCCCACCAAAAAAAAACAAAACCAATAATAAGTTGGTCATTTTCAATCTACGACTGTTTGTGGGACATTGCTGTGCGCAATTGGCTGCCGCGTTCGCCCACAAATATACAGTCAATTTTCACTTTACAGTGTTCTGTGAAGCGCTTTGGGACGTCCTCCCGACGTGAAAAGCGCTATATCAAATGCAAGGATTATTATTATTATGATCTAAGTCACTCACCTGCTTGCATCCCAAGCCCTGCAATATAGTTTTTTTCCCCATCCAATTGCATTAATCCACATTTTTAGCAATGGCTATTGATGTTGTTCCTGCAGGTCATTTATATTCTCTGCATGCTCCATTGTTTTTTTTTCTGTCTTTTAGTGTGTCCCAGCTAGTTTGTGGCCATACAGCTTATCCTTGCCGTTTCCAAAGCATTGTTGCTCAAGGCCAGGATATTATTCCTCATCGCGTGTTCACTCCACGCTGTCTGAAACTAAAGTGTGAAGAAGTTCTGTTTCCACTGGTGGCACGGTGCTTGTCAGCAGCTCATCGTGTTCTGGGCACACACCCGTTCTCCAGGCTTGATGTGCTGATCGTCCCTGCCAGCTTTTCTAGTCTGGGAATGGCAAGGTAAGTGTTTTGCCGTCGTCAAAATTGACTGATCGCAGTGGTCTGGCATCAACTGTGCAATGTAGCAAATCTTTCAATTGATGTACGTATAAGTGTATTTGTTCTCTTGATTTTGCTTGACTTGCTGACAAAGGCTTGCAATATTCAGTCATATAAAATCACATATAAACTCTAGATGAAATAAATAAAATGATATGTGTAACTAATATAGCAGCAGTAGCTTATATGTCGAAAGTCTCAGGAAAAAAGTCATTTTGATGTGTTATGAATGTCATTGGTAAAAGAGCTATTTGTAGTGTTCAATGTATTTCTGTGTTGCAATCTCTGCAATATAAAATTTATTTGCATTTCAGAACAGTTTCCTGTTTTGAATAAGAACAATTTTGCAGCATACTGTATTTGTTGAATGCTCTCATTTTAAAATGGTTTTGCAGCTCTCGCCGATTGCTTCATTTTTTTGGAATTATTTTGAAATAAGCCAGTAAGCTGTTAGGAAAGAAATTCTGCAGATTTTCTCTTTGATCTATTTTTACCAAACTTTGGATCAGTCCCTGTGCCTGAAGACATTCTGCAGAGGTTGGCACTGAGATATAATTACAGTAATACTGGGAATAAGCCCTCTCTGATTCCTGAAACAATTGTGAATTGGACAACCTGCTCTGCATCTGTGAATACTCAGAGTACAGTACTTCAGAATATTACTGGTAATAGAAATCTAATTGATATTAGCATTTATAAATTATTCACTTACCCGATGCCTACATACATTTATTATTTATAATGGTCCTATTAAGGCTTACAATATTGAATTGGAGAATACATTTGATTATTAATGGAAATTGGTCACAGAAAATAGAAATTGTTGAAAGCAAGCCAGCATTGTGAATTGTAGAATAATTGTAACTTACATCAACTCTTAGGGCTGTAATACCCATATGCCATATGCTCTGTGCCCAGAATGTATTTTAAGTAATGATCAGTGGTGATTAAGTTGCATTTCCATATTTGGCAGTGCAAAAGAAACCGACAGTGAAGTGTTGTTACAGTCTGTTGGTTGTGTAGCATTGTACCTATGGTAACAATGCTGATTGCTTGTATTGTCATCGGGAATTGCAGATTTTCATGTGTCTCTGAAGGACAAAGACAGCGTGAACCTGCTATTCTCAGTTCCTTGGTGCAGGCAGAGGTATTTACTACTGCAGCATTCAGTTGGAATTTATGATTCTGTTTAAACCCCTGCTTTTTTTTATATACTTTGCAGTTTTAAGAAATTGCTGCTCAGGCTCAAAACAGTATGGCAGAATTCTACACTGCTGCTGACCTGCACATGTTGGAACATCTTTTCAGGATATCTTTGATTCAGGCCCGGGAACACCAGCGCAGGTCCTATAAAACACCATAAAACAAACGCTCAGGACCGTGTCCTGACTGCAGGGCTACAGGAGCTCACCACCTCCTACCTCTCAGGGCCCATCACACACACCACTCACACGGGCACAGCTAGAAACACACATACAATCACAGAGAGATGCACGTTCTCAGAGACTCCCACACTCATATGCACAGACACACAGACACACGTAACAAGAAAGACACACAGACACACTCACACAGACACTCACAAACACATAGAGACACTCACAAACACATACAGAGGAGAGAGACACACTCATTTAGAGACACTCACAAACACACACATAGAGAGACACACAGACAATCACAACAGCGGGGCAAGTGGAGCGAAGCCCATTTTCCTCTCATGCCGCACTGTGCATGTGTGTCCGGAGCTGCCCCACCAATAGTTTTGTTGGATAAACAGCCGACAGAGACCCGGGGCCAGTAACTTCATTGTTTAGCAGTTTATAGCAGAGGCACTGTTTATAGCGGATTCTGCGAAAAATTGCAGCCGCACTTCTCTATTGGCCAAGGTCATTACATATCAGGTTTCCCAGGTTAGATATTAGGGGGTTAGATGCAGAAGACTCCCCCTACTCCGCTCAAACAATTTACCTTCATTTCAACCCAAAAGAGCACCCATTCATGCACCAGTATGACATTTTCTATTCCTACATCAGTACTGTGTGAGGTTGGAAATTACTCCTGAAGTATTGTCAGTTTTGTCCTGTAACTGATTAATAACAACAACTTGCAATTATATAGCGCTCATCATGTAGGATAACATCTCAGAGCGCTTTACAATGATGGAGTCAGAAGCCGAGCAGGAGAGATAAAGAAAGGGGGAGGTGGCAGTAGGTGTTCTCAAAGAGGTAGGTTTTAAGGTGGGACGTAAAGACAGAAAATGATAAGATTGTGTGATAGAGGGAGGGCATTCCAGAGGTTAAGGGCATAGAAAATGAAAACTTGGCCATCGATGGTGGCATGGAGCAGGCAGGGAGTTAGCTAAGTGGAAGGAGCAAGCAGAGGAGTGGGGCAGGAGAAGATCAGAGAGATGGGGAGGTACGTGCCAATGGATTCATAGGTGAGGGTAATGACTTGAAATCTATCCATTGGGAGACAAAGAGTAAGTGAGGTCTAGAGAAGAACTTGATTGATACTTTCACATTTGTTCCATTGTAAAACCAGTTTCCCTTCCCTAGAGAAGCTCATCAAGAAATTGTAAAAGGGATTTGAGACCAACAAACATTTGCATTAATATAGTGCCCTTTATGTGGGGCAGTGTCTTTGAGATGTGTACATAAAAACAAGACCTTTATTGTAATTTGTCAGGTGAGGTTACATGAGTGCATTTTAAGGTATTGTATCACAGTTCGCCAATCTTTTCATTATAAGGAATTATTTTTGCCTTTGTTATCCTTACTTTGGGAATGTGTACAATTGATCTAAACCTCCAGTAGCTTGTGAAAATCCTTTGGTAAAGGAGCTATTTGACCTGTAGTGGTTGCTGTTGTACTCCCTGAGGAAAATTAATGCTGAGGCTTTTTGATCTCTCCAAACTACCTGGATGTTTGGAGAAGGATAGTAGCAGATGGACACCCAAAATAAGCCAGTGGCAAGAAGAGCAATATTATTGGTGAACATGCCCCATACAGAAAGAACATGTCTTATTTTGTTAGTTGCTGTAATGTCAGAGCTAGTTGGAGTCTATTACAATAGCAATCAGCAGATGGTAACTTGCCTTCAGCCTGCAGATTCTGATAAGCCTGGGACAAAGTCTGTTCCAACTTGCTGTCACCTGTCGCTTAAGTGAGAGACGCAGAGACTGAGAGAGGGAGTTCTAGAGGAAGGGTTGGTTATTGATGGTAGTTGGAGTGGGTGGGGAATGCAAGGCATGAGTGAGTTTGGGGCAAGCAGGAGAATGAGGCTGGAGAAGATTAGAGAGGTAGGGAGGTGTGAGGGTGTGAAGAGATTTGTAGGTGAGAGTGAGAAACTTGAAGTTGATTCACTTTTCAGTGCTTGTCAAATAGACGATGGGTCTGTGTTGCTGGTCCCTTTACTAGAGGCATCAACAATGTTTGAGATTTTGATTTTGCATAGAAATATTTAAATATTTTTGTGAAATTATTATGCTTTTTTTCTAGAATAATTGTGCAATTCTCATAAACAATATGAATTTGTTGCCTTACAGAATTAAACATAACTTTTCAGGTTATTTAAATCAGCATCTGCTCCCAAAATATAGACATATGGTTGACAGGAAATATGAATGATTCATCTGTTTCCAAGGTTTTTTTGCAGAAATGTAAATCACTTTATATGTGGCAAACATTTAAAATCAAAATGCATTTTTATAGGTCTTCATGTAATTCCTTCCTTCAAAAATGTGTGGCTGCAGCAAGTGGAACAATTGCAAATTTGTTACAAAAATTACAAATAATTTATTTTCTATTTGCTACTAACTTCATTCAAATTCTATTAAGCGCTCCAACCTTTGTGAGAGGTACTATATAAATGCAAGTTGTTGTTAAATTCTATTAATGACCATCTTGACTGCTGGTCTTAAGTAATAATGCTGAGACATTTTCCCTATGTGAAAGGCTCTATATAAGTCCAAGTTGATGTTGTTGTATAAGACCATTTTGTCTTTAAGATTCAATGTCACAAAAACTTTGTAAAATTCTTAAATTTGTTCTTAATTTGAAAGCTGCTTACTTTTTAAGAAACAACAACAACAACAATAACAACAACAAGATTCCATTTATAAAGCACCTTTCACGTCAGGAGGACGTCCCAAGGCGCTGGACAGTTGGGTCATGACCCGAGCAGGGGGAAATGGTCAGGGTGAGGGAGGGAGGGAGCGAGGAGGGGGGAAATGGTCAGGGTGAGGGGAGGGAAGGGAGGGAGCAAGGAGGGGGGGGAAATGGTCAGGGTGAGGGGAGGGAAGGGAGGGAGCGAGGAGGGGGAAGAGAGTCGAGAGGGGAGCTGAAGGCTCGGTCAAAGAGAAAGGTTTTGAGACCGGCCTTGAAGGAGGAAAGGGAGGAAGCGGCGAAGGCACTGGGGGATAGAGTTCCAGAGCCTGGGGGCTGAGAGGCTGAAGGCCCGACCACCGATGGTAAGGCGGTTGGGGCGGGGGACGTGGAGCAGACCGGAGCCAGAGGAACGGAGGGTACGGGCAGGTAGGTAGGGGGATAGTAGGTCGGAGAGGTAGGAGGGAGCAAGGCCGTGAATGGCCTTGTAGGTGAGGATGAGGATCTTGAATTCGATCCTCTGGGGGATGGGGAGCCAGTGGAGGCGAGCGAGGGTGGGAGTGATGTGGTCCCGAAGCCTGGTGCGGGACAGTACACAAGCTGCAGAGTTCTGAATGACCTGCAGCTTGTGGAGGGAGGTGGCGGGAAGGCCGGCGAGGAGAGAGTTCCGATAGTCCAGCCTTGAGGTGACAAAGGCGTGAACCAGGGTTTCAGCAGCGTGAGGGGTGAGGTAGTGCCGTAGTCTGGCGATGTTCCGGAGGTGATGGAAGGCGGTGCCAGTTGTGGTGCGGATGTGAGGGAGAAAGGACAGCTCAGGGTCGAACAAAACGCCGAGGTTCCTGACTGGCTTTGAGA